TTAACCAATGTTATTACAGTGCTGTGTTGTCTCATGTCTCATTAAATGGAAAAATATAGTGCAAAGTGTACACAATTCACCACCTTGACACGCTCCTCCATTGTTCTATTTTCCCCAAGAGAGGCCTCTTGAATGTGGTGGAGGAGCCCACATGCATGGCTGCTAATTGGATGTGTAGTCATCAGCAAGAGGTAGTCACTGTACTACTTATCAGTTGAACAGTGTTCAAGTAAATTGTGCTGAAAATATAGTGGAACAATCTGCTAATTTACATCAAGTAAGGAGAACTACATATAACATTTATCAGAAATTAAACTTATGTAAGTACACTGATTGTAAATGATACACCTATACACTATGGTTCTGTTATATGAAAAATTTCAGAATACAAAACCATGAAGAAGTTTTGAAGTATAATGGTAAGTTTATTGAAAATTCAAAGAGAATAATATATGCCAACTTAAGTGAAGCTTCCCCCATAGGGAAAAAAATCAAATTTTTAAAAGAATGTGCTGAAAGGGGCTTCAGACATGCCCTTATTCTTTCCCACAATAAAAATATGTAAAGAAAGCCATGGTGAAATGTGTGGCATTTTGGTTGATATCTAGGGAGTGCCAGCCCTTCAAGATTTTCTACAATTTATCTAATGCATGGATAAGCCTTATGGAAAATGTACACACTTGTAGAGTTTCAATTAAATGTACATTTTCCTCATGTAATTTTTCTGATAATATACTCCTGAATTATACATACACTTTGTGAATCATGTATCTAATTCTTTTAATATTTCATTCATTCTCATTGCAACATATTTTATCATATGTTGATGCCAAATGAATAATGGCATCAATGAAATTTCTTTCCTCATATTTTCATTTAGTATATGTGCTGCTGAGGTGAGCACTATCCTCATATTTTTATTTAATCAAGATTCCTAAAGATAATTTGAAAATGTATATTCTTCACTGATAATAGCATTGTTCATGGTACAGTTTTTCTGTCTTCTGTTTTGCTTTCTTCAACTACCCCAAGACATCACCACCTTCTGATTGGTGAAAAGTACAGTAAGCTATCGCTCATGAAAGACACACACAGACACACACAGACACATGTTCACACATACACAGACACAAAAGATTGGAAAAGTCAGTTGAGGGCTGACCTTACCTAGAACGATATAAGCTGCTTTTGCTCAATTCATTTCTCAGAACTTTGAAATATCTCTGTGA